TATTATTTCATTACAACAACCCAGTCTAAAGCACAAATCCAGTGGTTGTGATGATAGGATGCACTCTGACCTCTCAATATACTGTTGATAAGGGGTAAAAATGCTGTGGTTTGGAAAATACTTTGATAGACACCTTTTCAGCACTGGATTGAACCCAGGACCTTGTGCATGCTAGGCAAGCACTCTGTCTCTGAACTACTAGCCCTTGTAGGTCTTAGAAAATACAGCAAACACAACCATTGATATGAATGAACCAACCATTCTTATCCTAGACATTTATAAAAGAGAAATGAAAGTGTGTCTCTGTGTACACACTTACACAAAAGTATTAATGGAAACATTACGTGTAGTAGCTTCAAGCGAGACATAGTCCAAGTGCTCAGTTGTGGGGAGCCAGACCAACCCAAGGCTTTCCCAGAGGCCCTGATGAAAGGACAAAGGGAACTTTAATTCTGTGTCCTTGTTCAGGAATGGACTTGGTTAGAAGTCTAAAGCTGGAGTCATTCATTCCTCAGAGGAGTCAAGGTTGTGGTTTCTGGAGACCCAGCTCTTCCCTCAGGGATATGGTTATCAGCTCTTAAGCAGCTGTGCTTGAGGTACTGTAGATTCTTTTTGCCAATGTTGTCTGATTCAGCTCTCTACTGACCTTGGCCCTGTCCCCTCTTGCAAATAGTATATATGATGCTGTACTTCTTAATAAACTTTTTTGGTATAAGTCATCAGCTTATGCAGGACCTTCTGGTGCCAGTTATTGCTTTATTGTCTTCTTTATTTCTTATCCCCAGTCTTCCCACTTGACACCTAACCTCAGGGCTCTTTTTCTTGTGGGCTTGGGTCACTGAGTAATAAGATGAATAGATAGTTGAAACACACCATAATTCCACACAGAGAAATGTTACTCCGCAATGAAAATGAATGAACTAGCCAGATATGGTGTCACGTGCCTGTAATCCTAGCATTCAGGAGGTAAAGGCCAGAGGATTGTGAGTTCAAAACCAGCCTGGGTTATATAGAAACACCTTGTGCCATAAACATTGAACAACAAAAAGGGATGAGCTGCTGATGTGCATAACGACACAGATGAACCTCTGAGTCGTGTGCTCTGCTGCCTGAAAGCAGACAGTCTAAAGGAGGACATACTGTATGTCATTCATGCAAATATATTTTAAGATTTACTTTTAATTATGTGTATATGTGTGTGGGGAAGTATGTGCAGCTGCCCATGGAGTTCAGAAGAAAGTGTTGGATTCCTCTGGAGCTGGGGTTATAGATGGTGTAAGCCGCCTAATGTGGATACTAGGAACCAAACTCCAGTCCTCTGCAAGAGCAGTAAGCACTCTTAACCATTAAGCTATCTCTCTCCAGCTCCCACATGGATTTCTTGAAAGGCAGACCAAAGGGAACTTTAATTCTGTGTCCTTCAGGAATGGACTTGCTAAGAGGTCTAAAGCTGGAGTCATGCCTCAGAAGAGTCAAGGTTGTGATCCACTGCTCCAAAAGCAGATCTGTGGCTTTCTGGGGGCAAAGGCTACCACAAGGGGTTGGTAGTAGTTCATGGAAACTTCTAGAAGCAATGGATTTATTCATTTACTCTCTACACATGTCAAGAATTGTGAAGGTGTGCACTTTGAAGTATGATGTTGAATGGGTATCAGTCAATCTGTAACCATTTAATGAGAGTCCAGAAGCAGGCAAACAAAAGAGGCTCCCTAGGGTACACGTCTAATTAGCCCAGTGTGGTTCCACATGCTAAACATTGGAGCTGCATCATATTACAAAGTAGATGTTGTTCCCATTTCATAGATGAAAGAGCAAGAATGAAAGGGCTGGTGGGACCTCTTCAGGGCTGCAGGCTGGTGAGTGGTGGAGCTGGAGTTTATAGCTTTGTCCAGAGCACTCACATGCTGTAACACACCCTGCTTTGGCCTCTAATTTGAAGCCTGAGGGCAGTGTACCCACGGCCTCTATTCTCTCTGGGGATCTGTACCTCTCCTGCTTGCTGAACCGAACCCCTCCTTCCTGCTACACCCTTCTGCCTCCGTTCAGAAGCCTACCCTGACTCCTCCCTTCCTCCCATGCATCATCACTCAGCCGCCTTCCTTCTGTACCTGCAAACAGGGAACAAATCAATTTGTAAACGCCTCCAAAAGAACAGGACTCTGAGTGATTGCCAAGGCATCTTTGTAAAAGCAAAAGCGTGCTGGGCTCTTGGAAGGCAGCCTCTGCCTGTGTTAGAGAAGCAGGCACTCCAAGCGGAGGCAAGTAGACCAGCACGTGCACAGATCTTCCTGGTTTCAGAGCCCTTTCTCATCTCTCATCCCTTCCGAACTCAATTAAGCTCAGTATTTTCACTCCGGTTCTTGTATTTTATCCGATAAGGCAACCAAAGCTGGTGATGAGGCTTGAAAAACCCAAGAACCAAACCTTCACTTGAGCTCTCTCTCCAATGAGAGGCCCAAGTGGGGGCCAGATGGCTACAGTAAGGAATTATTTGTCTAGGCTGGGTATCATGTGCCTGTAAGCCTAGCACTTGAGAGGCAGGGGCGGGAGCATCACTGGAAGTCTGAGGACAGCCTTGGTATATACAACAAGTTCCCGGCCAGCCTGGGCTACATCTAATAAAGGGGAAAAAGAGGAGGGAGTTATGCCAAGGAAGCCAAGGTAGTGGTGTATGCCTGTTATCCTGGCACTCAAGTAGGTAGAGGTAAGAATGTAGGTTCAAGATACTGTCTCAGAAGGGAAAATCTGCAAAGGAAGCCAGGCATGGTGTTTATCCCAGCACTCATAATACAGAGGCTTGAGAACTAAGAGTGAGTTCAGATTATTCAGAGAAGATCCCCACAAGAGCACATAGGATGGAGGCTAGAGCCAACAACTCGAGGCCCTTCTCCTCCCAGCAGCTTCTGATTAACAGGTCATTGAGCTCACTCTGAGAACTTTAGGTTGTTACATGAGAGGTTGGAGGTGAAATGTGATTTCTACTGTCTCCTTGTTCTGGACAATCTAGCACCTCAGCACTGAGCTTTTGGTCCATGTCACGCAAAGCTTGGACGATTGTGGAAAAGCTTTGTCATAGTTGAGAAGAACTACTGCTCTGTATTATGCATTGGATGGATACTGATTCAGGAAGTTAGCAACTATAGGGCAAGGCAGGATTATGAACTATAATTATTGTCATATAAAGCTGCTTTTCAAAAGATTTATTTTTGCCTGCAAGTATGTACTGCACCATGAATGTGCAGTACACAGTGGAGGCCAGAAAAGGGTATCAGATCCTCTGGAACTGGAGTTACAGGAAGTGATGAGCTGTCACGTGGGTGCTGGGAATCAGACCCTGGTCCTCTGGAGGAGCAGTCAATGCTTTTAACTGTTGTGGAATAATCTTTTTTGTGCACTGTGAAGATGTGTTACTCTGATTGATTTAATAAAAAGCTGAATGGACAATAGCTAGGCAGGATTTCCAGGCACAGAGGATGTTGGGAAGAAGAAGATGGAGATGCCAGGGATGCAGAGCAAGCAGGATGGGTACTATGGAGATGAGGTAATAAAGCCATAAGGCAGGAAGTAAATTAATAAAAATAAGTTATAAGAGCTAGTTAGTTAGAAACAAGCCTAAGCTCTTGGCTGAACTTTCATAATTAATAAGTCTCCATGTCATTATTGGGGACCCAATGGTCCTGATGAAGAAGTCTGACTTCACCTAGCCACTGAGCTATCTCTCTAGTTCTTCATATAAAGCTATTAAATGAGTTTTTATTGTATATAAAAACACTTGAATTACTTTAAATTCTCCAAAATCAGTGCTTCTCAACCTTCCTAAAGCTGTGACCCTTTAATATAGTTCTCCATATGGTGGTGACCCCCAACCATAACATCACTTTGTTGCTACTTCATAACTGTAAGTTTGCTACTGTTATGAATTGTAATGTAAATATCTGACATGTGACCCAAAGGGGTTGAGATCCACAGTTTGAGAACCACTGTCCTAAACTGATGCTGCATTTTGAAGTAATTATTCACAGTTTTGAAAGAGGTGAGGTGAACTATTTGCTTGGTTTATATTGATGACTTCTGGCTGTGCCTCTTCAGCTGGGAAAGTGAAGTACCTGTTTTTTTTGGACAGGGGCTGGGGTTCTGGTGTGTCCCCCAAAGTTTCCTATGTTAAAATTTATTTCCCATTGAGAGATATTAAGAGAGTAGAAAGTTGATCTGATCATGGTGTGGAGAGCTGAGCCTTTTGGAAGTGATTAGGATTAGATAAGGTCATCAGAGTAGAGTCCCCATGACTGAAGCCTGGTAGCTGCAGAATGTAAAGGAGAAAGCTGGGCGTGGTAGTTCATGCACGTCCTTGTGAAACTGAGATAAGCGGTTCACAAGTTCAAGACAAGCTTGGACTACACAGAATGCTCAGGGTCAGCCTAGGCTGTGTAGGGACAGACAGACAAACCAATATGGCTGGGTACGTGGTTCAGTGAGTGAAGTGATGACTGACCGAGCATGATGGCCTGCACTCAGATCCTCTGCACCGACATAAAACCCGGGTGTGGCATCCAGAGCTGGCAACTTCATCGCTGGGAGTCAAGATGGCCATGGAGACAGGTGGGTCCCTGGAGCTGGACAGCCAGCTAGAAGAGCCAAAGTGACAAGCTAACTAACATCTTGTCAAGACTCTGTCTCAAAAAATAAGATGGAGAATGATAAAGGAAGCCATGTGACACATGCATCCCTCTTACTCCCCCCCCACACCCTCATACTCTCTACATAAAAATAATGTAAGTATGAATAATATAAAAACACTAATAGACAGGCAGAAGCAAGGGAAGAAATAAAGAGAAGGAAAAGGAGAGAGCATAAGAAACATCATAGGTACACTGCTCCCCATCTCTTGCCCTCAGTGTCCCCCACGACCTTGGATGCTGTAAAACAAAACAAAACACACGGGCAATGAGGCTTGTGTGTTTATTTTACATAGTGTGCACAGGGGAATCATTTAAGGTGAACTTCCAAGCTTCTAGGGCAGGGCAGTCTGTCCTCAGCCAGTCATCACGTGCCCAATTTCCCTGATTGAGAACTTGCTTAAAGGATATTGCCCTGAGCAAGAATACTTGCAGCAGCCTGTTCCACTCTGCCCTGTATGGAAGCTGAGTTATTTTCCTGCTCATTTGATGATAAGTTATTATTATGGACCTGGAGAAAGATCTGAGGCTGTGAACGTGGGTGTCATATAACCTTTCACTCAAAGCTGTTTAATGAAGAGCAAGCAGAATATCTGCATTTAATCTCCTTTGATTAAACAGCCAATGCCACATTGGCATGCTGAGCTAGTCAGGGCTTTATATGCGCTGCAGTCAAATTTTCCATGCGTCGTTGTCCCAAGGCAGATCTACTTGTGTGCCATGTTCCCGCCTTCTGTTAAATCTTTAGTGTTTCCATCAGTACAACATGGCTGCCGTGGCTGTTGGGAGAAAGGGAAAACAAGAGCTTGTAACTTCTTGGCATGTAGAAGTTGCTCGACAAATACTCCCCCTTCCTAGTTGACAGGCCAAAATGCACCTCTCAGGCTGAGCTTTCAAGTAATTGCTGGGTCTTTTCCAAAAGGGACAGCAGCTGATGAGCTTGGTGGTGCTCTGTTTGTCAGAGATGCTTCCATAGGCTGGTGGCCGACAGTCAAGCCACTATCAGACCAGCCCTTTTCGTGCCCTTGTCCCTAGAAAGATGGTGAGATGCCATCAGCAGCTGTGACCATGGTGTTATTCTGCTCTCAGAGGCAGAGGGGTCAATCTGAAAACAACTAGGAATTAATGAGCGCTGTGTGTGAAGATTGTGTGCACTGCTGATTAACTCTTGGGAATAAAAATTCTAGAAATAGTACATCTGGCTAGCAGAGCTGGCCCATTGTAAAGGCTTTAAACACACTGTGCCGGGGAGCAGGACCGTGCCACTGGCAGCGTGAGAACGTCCCTCCACAGCCAGTGTTCCTCCCCTCCCAACCTCACTGAAACCTAGCAGTGCCGTTTTTCTTTATTTTTGTTAAAATGAAGCCTGAAATTGCACAGTGTCTAATTTTCCATGTTTTGTTGAACATTTTCATATATTCATCAACACATTGAACTTCTTCTTCTCCTCCTCCTCCTCCTCTCCCCTCCTCCTCCTCCCCCTCCTCCTCTCCCCTCCTCCTCCTCTCCCCTCCTCCTCCTCTCCCCTCCTCCTCCTCTTCCCTCCTCCTCCTCTTCCCTCCTCCTCCTCCTCTCCCCTCCTCCTCTTCCCTCCTCCTCCTCTCCCCTCCTCCTCCTCTCCCCTCCTCCTCTCCCCTCCTCCTCCTCTCCCCTCCTCCTCTCCCCTCCTCCTCCTCCTCTCCCCTCCTCCTCTCCCCTCCTCCTCCTCCTCTCCCCTCCTCCTCCTCTCCCCTCCTCCTCTCCCCTCCTCCTCTCCCCTCCTCCTCCTCCTCTCCCCTCCTCCTCTCCCCTCCTCCTCCTCCTCTCCCCTCCTCCTCTCCCCTCCTCCTCCCTCCTCCTCCTCCTCCTCTTCTTGTGTGTTAGCCCCTCCTTTTTTATTTTATTTATTTATTTATTTATTTTTTTGGTTTTTCAAGACAGGGTTTCTCTGTGTAGCTTTGCGCCTTTCCTGGGACTCACTTGGTAGCCCAGGCTGGCCTCGAACTCACAGAGATCCGCCTGGCTCTGCCTCCCGAGTGCTGGGATTAAAGGCGTGCGCCACCACCGCCCGGCCCCCTCCTTTTTTAAAGGCAAATTTTTTACTTGTGAATTTGTAAAACATCTTGGTGGTATAAATGCATATTATGATCATACACATGATGAGGGCTTAGGTTTGTTGTTGAATGTGGTATTTGATGGTTAAGATTTATTATTCCGTTTTTCAAAAGTGTCTAAAAAGTTAGCAGCAGCCAACTATTCATCTGATAAACATTTACAGACGGCTTGTTGAAAACATATGCCAGGCTCTGTGCCAGGCACTGGTGTCAGAAAAGAACAAAGCCCAAGTGTCTGTACTCCGAGAGATCCCAGGCTAGAGAAGGGATCTCCTCTCTCTAGAAAAAGCAGTGCCATTTGCAGAGGGCCACGCAGGCTGCACATCCCTCATTGACACAGCGGAGATGCTCTGAAATCTGAGGCTTTCCGGACCCTGACATGCAGCACTAAAGGGACAATCTAGGAGACGCCTGGCCAGCCGCTACGGCGACACGGTCAGATTTGGACCATCACCTGTTTTATAAATAACCTTTTATTAGGACACAGCAAGGACCAGCCACTCACACAGTCCCTGCTGCTTTTGTGCTGCATGACAGAGAGGCGTGTCTCTGACCCAAACCCACAGACCCTAAAAACGTTGGCTAGTCTTTATGTGCGTGCGTGAGTGTTTGTGGAAGCCAGAGGTCAACGTTGGCAATCTGCTTCAGTCACTCTCCATTTTATTTTGTGTGTGGTGTGTATATGTGATGCATATGTGTGAGTGTGTGGGTGCATGTGCCTGTGCATGTGTGCACAAAATCCAAAGGCAGTCATTGGGTGTCCTTCTGTCACTACCCACCTTATTCTTTTGAGACAGCATCTCCCATTCAACTGGAAAGCTCCTTTGGGCTAGGCTGGCTACACAATGAACTTCCATGGTCTACCTCCTCTGTCTGCCCTCTGATACTGGGGCACAGGTACACACAGCCATGCTTGGCTTTTCATGGTCTACCTCCTCTCTCTACCCTCTGATGCTGGGGCACAGGCACACACAGCCATGCTTGTCTTTTTTTTTTTTTTAAATATGGGTGCTAGAGATTAAACTCAGATCCTCACAGCTGCACAGCAAATGCTCTGACCCACTGAACCATCTTCCCAGCCCAACTACCTTATTTTTTGAGGCAGGATCTGTCACTGAACCTGGAGCTCACTCATTCATCTAGACTGGCCAGCAAGCCCCAGGGATGCTCCTGTCTCTGTCTCTCCAGTGCTGGGATTATAAGCAGGTATGTTACTGTACCAAGGTTGTATGCAGGTCCTGAGGATCTAACTCAAGTTGTTATGCGTGTGCAGTAAACACTATATCAACTAAGCCATCTTTCCAGCTTGTTTGAAAGTGGCCTGAGCCAAAGAATGCTTACTCAAAACTGCACAAAAGTTTGGAACAGAATCCAAACCAAACTTCGGGATTCTTCAACCCAGATCTATGCTTCCTCTGTCATTCTACTAAGATGGACTAAGTGCCGACTGGAACATACGCCTGCAGCTACAAGTTTGAAGATGACAGGGCTTGCAGATGCTCCCCGAAGGGCCCATAAGCAGCATCAAAGACATCAGGTAAAGAAATAACCATCTAGAAAAAAAATCTATCATTGGGGAGAGAGCAAGTACTGCTCTTTCCTCCCCGCCTCCGCAAGGGTGGCAAGAGTTCCACACACCTTATTCTTGCCATCTGCCACCACTTCCTCTCCCTCCACCTGGATTCTCCCACAGACAGTCACCTCCATCACAGCAGCTTCAGGGTTGAAGTCAGACCAACCTCAGAGTTCATCTCCAGGTACAGCCAGCATCTCTGTCCAGGGACACCCAGGTGATGACGTCTCATCTGCTGGATCCTCTAGGACACAGCAGAATCCTGTCCCTAGATTGTCTAAGCTGGTGGGTCATCAGCCTATCATATAACACTGGTTAAAGAGAATTAGTCACCCGGAGAGGCAAACTACTGCTGGATGGCCACATTCGGGTCATCACCTATTTTACAAGTAGTTGGTGGGCTGGAAAGATGACTCATCTGTTAAGGGCTAGGCTCACAACAAAAAATATCAGTAATTGGTGGTCGCTATTGGGAAGTGTGACCAGGATTGAAGCCCCCATAGAAACAAGCAGAACCAGAACCTTGGAGCTTCTTACGATGATGTCAGATATAAATCTGGGTTCTTCCACCGCTCCAGTCAATTTCCTCTTTGCTTCGAGCTTTCTAGCACTGGGATTCCCATTGTCAGTAGACAACTCTGGCTAATATGCTTGTTTTTCCAGGCAACTGTCACCCCATCCTCTTCTGAACCCTTGCCTCCCCCACATTCTCTCTGCCTGCTGGTGACACCGGCCTTCTCCATCTAGGAATATAAATTTAGGAAACTGTAGTGCTAACAGCATGTCAGAGTAGAGCTGGCCAAGTTTGATAATGAATCCATCTGACAGTGTGAGCCGATCTGCGCTTATTCAAACCCCCATTCAGTGCTTCCCACGGCAATGATAAGCACGCTGCTCTTGGTATTGTCTGTCTCCAGCTTAATGATGTGATGTTTCCACTTAGGATCTTGATAGGCTCATGGCTGTGGCAATGGTGCCTTTCGGAGGAGGCTGGCCATATGTTGTGAGCTGAATGCACCAAAAACATCTGGGAGTAGGAGAGATACTGGGAGGGCCTGCTGGTCTGTACCTCATGTTTTCCAGAGACTTCTCATTTTGGAAGGCAGTTTTTCACTTCCATTTGAATCTGCCTCTAGAATTGGCATCTTACTATGGCAGGGGGATGCTGGGAAAGGGGCAATTAAGGGCTTTCTGGTTTGGCTCCATCTTGGATCTCCAAGATATGCTTCTTTGGAATTTCCTGTGGAGTTTTCTAAAAGTCCAGATTCCAGTCTCCATGCCTCATAAGATTCTGGGTCAGTAGATCTGGGAAGGCAGTTTCAGTTCTTATAAAGGCCTCTAGTTCTGAAGAGCAGCCATGTTGCAGAATTATTGACATGAAGCGTCCAGAAGTCAGAGTGCTTCTTCATCTTCAGGGTCTTCCCCATTTGTCGTCCATGGTTCCTGTCCATCAAGTCTCTAAGATTCCGCCCCCACCACCACGGACCCTGTCTCTGCTATGGCCTATGGGGAACTGCTTTTGTGGGAAGCAAAGTGCAAAACTACCAGACAAATGTAACTCTGACACTTTCCATTGAGAAAACCATCCCAGGATCAGGAAAGGTCAAATGAGGGTCCAAGAGCTCATAGTAAGCCCTGAGGCGTAGCAATCAGGAGGCAACCCTGGGAGGCTGGATGCTACAGAATCTCCTGGGGTTGGTCTCACATCTTCTGGATTATAGGCTCGGATGCTGTTCTGTGGCCATCTCCTCAGCCTCCCACCACTGTCCATGCATATCTGTTACCAATAGGATAGGCAGAAATTTGCTGCCCATGGAGGAAAGAGGCTTCTTCCCTTTCTTCCCCTTTCCCTATCTCTCCTACATAGTTTCAGCTGTGCAGGGCCTGTGGAGAATTTCTATGTGTGTGGTAGTGATTATATATATATATATATATATATATATATATATATATATATATATATATATATTTTTGTGTTTATGCATGTGTGTGTGTGTGTGTGTGTGTGTGTGTGTGTGTGTGTGTGTGCATTCATATGGAGGCTAGAGGTTGGATGTCTTCCTCTATGGGTTCCCACCTTATTTTTTGAGACAGGTTCTCTCACTGAACCTGGAGTGTGCCTACTGGCTAGACTAGCTGGCCAACAAGTCTCCAGGGGTCCCCCTACCCACAAATGCCCAATGGTAGGGTTATAGATGCACCCTAGGCTGGGTTTTCCTGTTGGGAATTTTAATATTTGTGGGAGCCCGTTCTCGGGTTCCTCGTGGCTTTACCCAGCAGGTCCGCATAGAGGATGATTAGACCACGGGCCTGAGTGCAGGTGTCTGGGATGGTCTGCACTTGGCCATGCTGGGAGAGGAGGTCTTTTGCTCCACCCCTTGGCGTCTCTATAAAAACCCTGGGGCAGAGACAGTCAGGGCCCGTTGGAATTGGTTCCAGGCCCCCTCGAGGCTATCCTTTATTTTCTATCTGTTTATCTCCGCGATATTCTCCGCAATAAATCCTTCTATCTAATATTTCCTGCTGCTCGCACTCAAGAAAACTCTGGGGAACTGTGGGGGTGGTTGGGTAAACGCCCCACAAATATTGATTGGGCAGCATTCATAAATAAGCTATATTTCCTTCCCCTTGGACGGGTAGGGTGAATCCAGGTCATGGGAACCTATTCTTCCCGCCCCCTCCAACCCTTCAGTCTCCCGTACCTACCCCAGGGTTTCATATACTCACTCAGCTGCTGGCTCAGGCCCAACTGTGTCTGTTCCAATGTGTTGGCAAGAGTGAGTGATGGAGACCGCAGACCATTACTCAGGAGAGGGTGATGGTGAGTCACTATGAGAGGCTCTTTTCCCAGTCTATCCACTCTACCCCAGGCTGTGCTTCGAGACAGAGAATAATAACACCCTTTGGACTTATCTCTTAAAAATAGAGTCAGCGGAGTCTGTGGCTGTGGGGGGAGCAGTCGTGGAGTCAGGTGCTCAGGCCAGCTGGATTCGGTTCAGTATCGGGCACTGGCTCCCGCTTTGCAAAGCTGTCATTCGTGAGTGCTGTCCTAGGCAAATCGTGATCCAGTTTTTTGAAGCTTGCAGAACCTTTCCAAATGTGATATACAGTAAGGACACAGTCTATGCACATCAATGCAAGATTTTCCACTTAATTTTAGAGGTTCATGAAAACCCCTGACAAAAGTCACAGGCTACTAACAAAGAATTTCTGCTCTAGGGGCTCTATTTGTTATATGTATATTTAGATTTTTTTTCCTGAATTCTGCACCTTGTTCTCCAAAAACTAAAACTTTTCTGTTCTTGCTTCCAGTCCTGGTGGAATGTACTCCTAGTAGAGAGAAAACACAAAGGTTTTCTTATTTAGGGTGTCTACCAGAAGGGATTGGATATCAGAAGGTACACACACACACTGCAAAGCTCACCAGCAAAAGGAGATGGATGATAAAGATCGGCCAACTCCAGAGTCACGACAGCTACTAAACACCCTTCCACCCTTGCCCAAGCTTGCTGTGGAGGCTACATCGCTCCCTTGGCTCTAGGCTTGCGTCATCAGGTGTCTAAACAAGGCCTTGCAATCCCACACCCCTTTGCTGAGTGTTTCTCGTCCCTAGTCAAAGAGATGTAAAAGAAGTCAGCCTTCAGTTTCAAAACAAGATAGAGCCTATCAAGGAGGACATATTCTGCCTTGACTGTCTTCTTCGGGAGGTTGTTCTGAATGTTGGTGCCTTCTGAAGTGACATAGAGAAGGCTGGTGACCCAGGAGATAGAGTTCCTGGGACTCAAACAGACACACCGAGAAGGCTTATTGAAATGCTCTTCAGAAGAGAAGCAGCCAAGTTCACAGAGAGGGGGCCACATCATGGAGAGGAGCAGAAGCTCTTTTGTCACAGTTGAGAGGAATGGGCTTTGGTTTTTCTCCCGAGCTGTCTGTGTGGATTATTCAGGAGGCAGACAGTTGTCTCACTAGCTTATGAAATAATACATTTCACAGCCTATTTTTTTTTTCGAAACTGCATTCTAGTAAGGCACCATGGTATGGCTTCAGATGTCTACATAAGACATCATACATTACTGAGTGTCAGGTAGTCTGAGCCTGGTTGTTAAAGTGTGGGAATTTTGTTTTTATTCTTGCCCCTTTTGTCTCTGTAGTTAATACCTAATTACTATGACCACTTTGTGACCCTGAGATAACAAATATGAAAATGAAAAGGAGACACGGGAAGGTAGATAGTGAATTCCAGAAGAGGTGTGCAGTCAGTGCACCACTGGATCTCAAAAAGGCATAATCCATTGTCTTTGAAGGAAGGAGGAATTGAGGAATACTTGAAGAAGTAGTGGTCTGGAGACATGCCAAAAAAAGATTATCCATTCTTTCTCTTTGACTGGATTAGACAAAAATGACCAGTGTTTAACATGAGACAGTAGCTCAGTACATATTTGTTAAATGATGCCCAATATGTACATGAGTGATTTAATGTCAGTCCCTATAACCTAGTGAAGTCTCATCATGATGTGTTCCTTCCTCAATTTGACATAGCCTAGAATCATTTGAGAGGAGAGTTTCAGTGAGGGATTGTCAACATTCATTGGCTTGTGGCCATATTGGTTAGGGATTGTCTTAATGAGTTAATTGACGTGGGACGATGCAGCCCATTATAGGCATTACCATTCCCTAGGCAGGGGGTCCTGAACTGTAAAAGTCCTGAGCTGAACTGAACACAACCATGCAAAACAGCAAGTGAGCATGCATGTATTTATTTCTCTTACTCTTGTCTGCTCATGACTGTAGAGGTGACGTGACTAGCTGTGTCACATTCCCGCTGCCTTGATTTCCCCTCAACAATGGACTGTAACCTGAAATTATGAGCTACAGTAAACCCTTCCTCCTCTACATTAATTTTTGTAGCTTTTTTCTTCATAGCAACAAAACTGGAAGCTGGGCATGGTGGTACACACCTTTCATCCCATCAGTTGAGAGGTAGAGACTTGGAGGCCATCCTGATCTACACAGCAAGTTCCAGGTCAACCGGGGCTATGTGGAGAAATCCTGTCTTGAACAAACAAACAAAAAAAAAAAAAAAAAGAAAAGAAAAAGAAAGAAAAGAATCTAGAACAGCCACCCAAGGTTTTTAGGAGGCCCCTGGGGAAGTTTCACATAAGCCTGTGGTAGATTGTTCTTTCCCTCTTCCTTCCAAGCAGCAGGACCGCCCAGTGGGTTCCCTGTTCTGCTTCTGTCCCTCCAAAGCATGCCTATCCCCATCATCTTACCAAGAGAATATGGAACTGATCTACACCTTCGCCAAGAGAGCCTAGAAAAGGACTGAGTGTTGGGGGAGCTTGGGCCCAGGACAGCTCAGGCAGGAAGGCCCCTTGTTTCTTTCTTAAGACCAAACACAGCTAGAGCTCCAATTGGGCGTGTCTAGAAAGCTCTGTAATTGAGCATCTATTTAGTCAGGTGATTGGCTCAACTTTCCATTTAGTAACCAAATGGAGAAAACAAACAAACAAACAAACAACTTAAGAGGCCGTGTCTGTAACGTAGCAGCTGCTTCCAAGATCTGCCTCAAACCATTTGCCCGCCATGAATCTCCTAGAGGGGGTGACGGTTAAAACCTGAAAGGTTCTCCGTGATTCATCGGACACAAACCGGGCAGTCTCTCAACACTTCATCCTATTGTGACACCTGACCTAGAGCTCTCACGAGACTCCACAGACTAAAGGCATGCTGCTGCAACAGGGTCTTCATTTAGAATGTCAGTCACAAGTCCTGGGTGGGTCCCTAGGCTACCTAAATTTCCATCCCAGTTATCTATGAATTCAGGTAATTTCCTGTGAACTCTTCCCCTTAGGGTTCAATAATATACTGGAATGACCCACAGAACTAAGGAAAATTTTACATACTACTGTAGTTTATTACAAAAGATATAAGTGAGCAGGCTGAGGTGGATAACAAGAGGTCTGGAATGGTCTTGGGTACAGGAATCTCAATCACCGTGGCATCAGGGCACCACAACACAAGGATGTATTCACCTGCCTGAGGTCTTCTGGATCCCACTGTTTAGGATTTCCATGTGTGAGTGTGTCTCTGTGTATTGTGTGTGTAGTGTGTATGTGATGCATGCCACCTATAGGTGTGTGTGTGTGTGTGTGTGTGTGTGTGTGTGTGTGTGTGTGTGTGTGCGCGCACATTCCCAGAAGCCACAGGGGGACATCAGGCATCTTGCTCTGTCACTCTCTACCTATTTCGTGGATACAGGGTCTCTCAGTGATCCTGGAGTTAGGCTGACCACCAGCAAGCCCCAGGGACCCTTCTGTCTCCGTGGCTGCAGACACATGCATGGCCATGCCCACCCAGCTCTCTCTATCCACCCCCCCATCTCTGATGAGTGTATGCATATGTGTAGGTTTACATTCGTGTGGGTGCCGGTGAGGTGTGGACGGCAGAGGACAACCCAGAATGTCATTCCTCAAGTGCCACCCATTTTAAGCAGTGTCTCTCATTGGCCTCAAGTTCACAGATAAGGCTTGCCTGACTGGCCACAAGCTGGAAATCCCCCTGTCTCCACCTCTCCCGAAGCACATGTCACCACAGTGGATGTTTTCTTGGGTTCTGGGAATCAATTCAGGTCCTGCTTACAAAGCAAGTACTTCACTGATTGAACTGTCCCTCCAGCCCCATAAAAGGGACTCTTCTGCATAACAAAACCACTCTAGATCCTTAGGAACTTTCAAGGGATTTAGAGCCCCATGCCAGGAATCAGAGACTAGACAAAGACCAAATACATATTTCCTATTATACCAGGCTTATTTCTCTGAATATTTATTGAGGAGTCTCAGCTTTTTGGAATATAAATAGGCTTGCCAGAATTCATTTGAGATTGAAAGGGGCCAGCCTTATAAACCAGGAACGTCTGAGTAAACTGAGAATGTGGTCTCCTGTGGAAGCAATTTTGCTCCTTCTAGTAGGTATATATACACACAGTACCCTCCACTACCCTTCTGCCCCCTCCATGGTCCCACAGTGTCATTGGGGTGAGCTTCCTTAATTGATCTTCTCCTTATAGCAAAGCTTCCAGAGACTTGGCTGTAAGAGTTCAAGGAATTGAGGAATGGGTCCCTTTGGTCCTTAAAACAGCCAGGAAAGGCTTGGAGCATACAGAGCTCTGGGTCCGTTGCCTTTGGCCATCAGTGTTCCACCAACATGAATCTTTTCCAGTGAGGTTTAGAAGTGCTGATTGGTTACTGGTCAAGTCTCACCACATTGTCCCTGATCATTCAATGACCGCAGCACAAGGAAAACTCTTGCCTGTCTCTCTGAAGTAAGTTTGAAGCAGGTGCTCTGTCTGGGTGGGTTGGACAGAAAGGGCTATAAGCTTGCTGGGCACTCACAGCCCTGGGGAGCACATACTGCAGAGGACATTGGGTGTTGATTGACTCCCAGAGATGTGCAGGACCAGCAACCCTGGGCAGCTTTCTCTCTAGAAAGCTCCTTAAACGCCATTGCTCGTACAGTCACTTCTGCTGTGACATGTTGTATGTATTAAAGTTACTGTGCTGTGTAAAACTGTGCAATTAAAAATGACAGAGTTTGGGGAGAAATGGGATTTGGGGTGCTTTGCTCATGATACATTATAAAAAAAAAGTAAGAGTGCTGAGTGTGTAGTTCAGTGGTAAAGTACATGTTTAGTATGAAAGGCAATCCCCTAAACACATGCACACACAGATACACACAGACACACACACATGGGGGGGATTATAAAAGTGGCAGCCATTTTATATATCTAATGGTTAAGAAATACAGAAACACCACAGCAAGCATGGCACTTCGTTTTGTAGAAGGTCTGGTCAGCCTGTCCCAGAAAGAAGTGGTGTGAGGAGGGTCATCAGAAGTCAGAATAATAGCTGTCACACCAGGTGGAGACAGACGAGGTTCATAACACGTGGGGAGTTAAGGCAGTGGGCAGGCTTTGCAGTGTGTTCCGTGGAAGGTGCTCTGACTGGTGATGTCAGGCTCCACTGGAGACCTATGACCCCAAAAGGCAGAAATGGCTGGAGAAATCCTCTCCCCTTTCTCTGTGCCAGACCAATTCACTGCAGAAAGCCACACCTTCTGTGTGACCTAGATAAGCCTCACGCGTGCCCCACCCCCTCAGCCCTTGGCAGGATAAGCCATGGACCCTCCAAATTCCCTTTTGTTACCCCATAAATGATGAGCTGAGTTGCTTTGTCTGCCCTGAAATATCTGAATCCAAACACTTCTAATCCAACATTGGTTACTCTCCTCTACTACAGGGAGCTTTGGGGCCACCCTCCACCTGAGCCAGCCTCCAGCCTCCTTAGGGGCTCTTTCCAGAGTAAGCTGACTCCTGTGGTCCACTCAGCAGCCATCACCCCAAACCTTTCTCCTCACTTCTCACACTTGTTTCTTCCTAGTTGTGTTTACTTCTGTCCATCCGTCCAGGGAAGGCTGGCTTTGCTAGCGTTTCAGATGCTTACAGCCTCACGCTTGAAGCACTCACCCTTTGCAGTAGTCCTCCTGACTTCGTCCCCCGTTCTGTTCGCTTGGCAGAAAGGCTTGCTTACCACTCCCTACGTTTTTTCACTTGACACGACACAGCCCGGTTTGGCAGCACGCAGCTTTCTGTTTTTCCCTGGTGTGTCGTGTGGGTGAAATCACACAGAGGCAAAGGCAACATTTGCAATGTGTTCAAATTGCCCTCCAGTATACTAATTACATTAGAACAATTTTGCATATTCAAACCACAACAGAGTATAGATGCTTAATTCAGATATTGTGGGCTTCTGAGATGAACTCAAGTCCTTTGCTTGCTGGGACTCAAGCTTTTTGGGGTAGGTTGTTGCTGTTGGTGTTGTTTTCCTGCTGTGGATATCGCTTTATATAAATAAAGCACTGATTGGCCAGTGACCAGGCAGGAAGTATAGGTGGGACAAGGAGAGAGGAGATTGAGGAAGGAGGAAGGAAAGGGAGACTGGCTGGAGCCACCGCCAAGACAAGGAAGATGTAAAGTACCGGTAAGCCACGAGCCATGTGGCAAAGTAAAGATTAATAGAAATGGGCTGAATATAAGAGTGAGAGCTAGACAATGATAGGCCTGAGCTAATGGCCAAGCAGTTTAAATAACGTAAGAGTCTGTGTGTTTGTTTTATAAGTGGGCTCCGGGACTGGTGGGACTTGGCGGGAGCTGGAGAAAAATTCTCCAGCTACATTTTCCTTGTTGTTATTGGCCCAGAGTCTATGCAGCCTAGGCTATCCTGGGACAGTGTAGCTCAGGCTGGCCTCAAACTGGGAATCTTCCCTGTGTCAGAATTCTGAGAGCCAGCATTACCGGTATGCTATGTCTTTCGCATTTATGAAGGAAGATGTGAGGGAATGTTTGATAAGATTCTCAGAAGCACGTGATATTTTTATCCTTTCCCATCCTTGTCTTTATCTTCAGTAAAAGCCATTTTCCACAGAGCTTCTGCTAGAGATTGATTCCACAGTCATAAAAGCCACAGAAACTCAGGATGTGAAAGGATTTAAAAAAAAAACCTGATCCAATCTCTTCATGTTACAAAAGACCAAACGGAGTGCTGCTGACCTAAGTCCTCTGGGCAGACTCTGGGCCAGAGTCAAAGAGGGGAATCTCAGTGGGGAATCTGGGTGCTGCACTCAGAGTTTGGTGCTGTGAACTCCAAATGAATCACAAGCCCAAAGGGAGGTGGAGGCAAGGACTGAGCGGCAGAAGGACATGCGTGGTGGCCTCTGGAGCGGCACCAGTCTTCCCTTCTAAAGCCAGTATGGTTGGGGTGCTTCTCAGTGGGAGGATACTTTCTTAGCAAGCATGAGGCCCTGGGTTCTATTCCTGTATCCACAAAAATAAGTCAACACACACACACACACACACACACACACACACACACACACACACACACACACACACACAAAAAGCCGTAATGCCAGTCAAAAGCTTCTGTTGTCCCGTCTGAAGCACAGAGGCAGCTTCATGCCCAGGGAAGGCTGACTCTGCCTTCCCCATTTGCTTATTTTTGCCTCTGTCACATCAGTGATGTGGATTATAAATGGGCAGACTACACACTCTAAAGCGATACTCCTCGGGGAGTTTTTAATCTATCCAAGATCCAGACAGGCACAGCAGGGAAAAGTGAAAATATCTCTGCTTCATTAGGGGAAATTTATAGCTTGCTTAAGGTTGCCATGGTGACCAGCAGACAGGAGCTATTTGTAGATGCTGGACTTGTGGAAGATTTCAGGTAAGGGACATGGAAAGGTTTACTGACAATAAGCTAGGTGGGTACCAGCTTTTTCAGCATATGTTAACTTGACTTAGTGCAGAATACTTGTGAATGGCTGGTATGCTACTATTCAGTTTAGAACAGAGGGAACTGAGGCTCAGAGGCACTAAACCAGTGTTGAAAGACTCACAAAACTCATCAGGATTTGTGTGACTCTGAAGCCTCAATGAGCTGGATTTTTAAA